TACACATAGGTACACTAAAAAGGGGTAAATACAATCCACAAACCCGCAAGGGCCCCCGGCGGCGTGTTATTGGTACACACGTGAGTCTAGGGATGCTGCGCGGGCTGACAAGTGAAATTTTGTTCGATACCCAATCACTCCTATAACCGGATCAATAGGAGTCGACAAGGTTCGAACTTCTCAAACAAATACACGGTTGAGAGGAATCAGTATATGTTTGTTTTTAATAACATTCATTATCAAAGGCTCCAAAGGCCTTTAAATCAAGAGAATTCACTTACAAGGGAAAAAAGCATACGAAATCTGACCCCAAACAACCCCGAATGAGCGTGTGTTAATCAATCCTCAACCGAGAGGGCTTTTTTCAAATATTTTCAAATGTCCCCCCAAATATCCAAAATGCCTTCCAATTCCACCCACAGTATGCCAAATCCAAACCTTAAATTTCAAATTCCAGATTATTTAAAATTTTGAAATCAAACCATCCCATACGCTTAAAGCAAAATCCTCAACCCTCCGCAATAGTTGCCGAGTGGACAATTAAAATTTACTTCAGCTCACAAAGAGCAAATGCCTATGTCGAAATAAATATCTCTAGATCCATTCTTAAACAATCTCTTGGCCAAGTAAGGACGTGGTACGTGTCCTCTAGCCCGGCAGTTTCGACGCAATGGCACTGGAGGTAAACGGATATGAACCGGGGCCTCTGAACCGAGTGGTTTTGCTGACAAAATGGCACCAGATAGTCGGTTATGCCAAAACCAATTATGCTCCTTAATGCGTTAAATCCTTGAGATATGAATCAATAGGATAATGACCGATAGGTGCACAAAGCCCTCTGTTAGCTAAGGTTGGATCAAATTTATTCCCCTTAGGCAAACCGAGTTCACTCCCAGGTTACAAAGGTCCCCTTGGACGAAGGCAAACCCAATGGCTGCCTACAAGGATCCTTCTGTCAGGTTGGGTCGATCTACCTCCTCTGACTAAGTAGACCAGCGGCCACGTGGCCCGGGATTACGGAAACCATTGGATCTTGAATCGGGTCATTCATCCATTCCCCCCCAATTCGCTTAAAATTCCAGATGGTGAAGAATTCCAGTTTTAAAAATATTCAAATTTTTTTTACTCCCTCCCAAATTCCAAAAATAATGAACCTTCAAATCTTAAAACATCCAAATATTTTTTTCCCAATTTCCTAAATCCCAAACCCATGCTCTACTATATGCCGAAACACGTATACTCTACGATCTGATTTGACGACTAGCTTAATCGAAAGTTTCCTCTCGTGATCGGAGGGGTATTAACTATAGGGGCTTGCGCCTATAGAAACCGAACTCAGATCAATAAGTCCTCAGCAAATGAGGGCGAAATCTCTGGGTAGTGTCTTATCTACAAACCCATCTGCCCTTCCAAAAATTTAACCGTCGAACTTAGTTTCGTTACTCCCTCACCGAATAATAAGAAATACGAGCAGGTGATGCCGTTGGCCCAAATTTTCGGAGCCCACAGTCGAACCCAAATCAAGGAGTTGTGATTTGGCAATTGGATCTTCGTCTGCTTCTGGCGAGTTCGTTTGAGCCAAGGCCCGAAGAAAAGAAGCGGGAGAGTTGAGCGAGACAGAGGCCTCGTGGACACTCCACCTCATGTATGTTCCGAAGCCATACCCAATTTGTAGCGACTTCCAGCAACCCCGTACATCCCTGTTTGGCACCGCCCGGCCGAAATCGAGGGACAGAAGGTTCCCTGCGTGCTAACAGAGCCCAACCGACGACTACGCCACCCATTCTGCATGTGTCCTTCCAAACCTGAGTGAGGAAGAAAGAAGCCATTTAGCTCATTCGTCTATCCTAACAGAAACTGAGGTGAGGGAACCACGTGGAGAATGGCATTAGGCCGCTGACCCTACTTGTCGCCGGACATCATCCACCTCGCCGAACATTTCAAAGGCCACACGTCCAATACGCCGAAATTTTGCAGACTACAAGACCTCCAGGCTGCCGATCTCAATTCGACTGAAACCGAACCTGGGGAGTCCGAGCAGCTAGGGAGCATCCTCCGACTGGATTTTGCTTCTTTCCTTCAAGAGCCCTCTTTAGAAGAACTAACAATCTTAATACTTATGGTTTGGAATGGTCAAGTAGAATTTTGCTCGCTGAGTACAAGAGAAGAAATTCAATGCATATTTGAGAAATAATTTATGAGATAGGCTTCACTAAAAAAAAGTTAAATTCCAATCAATGAAACTAATCCCATAGATAATGAGTTTGGGCTAACACATAACAAAGGTATTAGTATGAAGTTATAGCAAAAGTGGAAAAGCCTCGCATGCAAGCTGGCACATATTACAATCAGCAAAAAAAAGTAGAGAGCGGTAGTGTGTATACTTAGTAAAGTGTGTGATGAGCAAGTAGCTGGTGAACATTGCGAGTTGCACTAATGAAGTGGGGCTCAAGTGAGCACAGCGGCTTTGCATCAAGTGAGTGAGCTACAAGTAGTGGTTGGCAGAAGCATATCGAGTGTGAGCTATATGGGCAGCAGAGTGACTTGTAGGTGTCTCATGTAATGGGGCGTTTCTACGAGCAAATGGTAGTGCCCATCAAGTAAACATTGATAGGGCTGGGTAAACAAAGTGTTCTGAGTGACTGAGTTGTGGGTGAAGAGATCAGGCGTTGGGTATATTGTTTTGGAGGCAGTTTGGATGCATTTAAATGATCATGTTTTTTTTAAATTGCTATTGTAATTTTAAAGTTTATTTTTTGCAGTTGATGTAGCCGACCCCGACGACAGTGGGAAAATGCTTGATGTTGTTGTTGTTGTTGTTGTTGTTGCTTGTTTTCTTGACCTGATGATGGTAGGCAATCGATGATTATGTGTGGTTTTAGGTGCTCTTTGACATGTTTTCCTTTGGTGTGTTATGCTTCTTGTTGTGCTTGTGTTTGAGTTGACTGGGGAATGTGGTGGGCGGCTGAAATTGCTTCTTAGTCCACATTTGGTTGTACGAGTTCCCTGCTTCCTTGCTTTCCCGATTTCCCTGCTTGGTTTTCGGTTCTTCTCCCTGCTTTTCTCGGTTTTCTAATTGCTTTGGCTGTTCAGTTCCTGCTCCCCTATCTTTCTCGTTCCCTTACCTTTATGTGGTTGGTTCGGTTCCTGCTACCCATGGTTTCCGGTTCCTTTGTTGTGGCTGTTCAGGGTGGGGGTCAATCGGCCATTGTGCTGCTTTTTCTCCCATTTTTGAATTGGCTGAGGGTGGCAGCTTTGAATGGTGTTAGCCCCTTTTCTTTCCTATTTATAGGGGAGTTTTGGCATTTTTTGAGGAAGTTTTTGAAGTGAAAAACAAAATTAAAAACCGAGGCTTTTCTTCTCTAGCTTGAGAGCCTAACTTCTTCACTTCTTGTCTCTTCTTGCAAGTCTCTAAAACCCTTTCTTCTCTCCACAAAGTTTCCACCCCATTGGTATCCCTTCTCAAAGTAAACTTGATTTATGGAGGTCAACATTAGAAACTAAAGGTTTTCGCTTGAGTAGATCTAAAATGGAATATATGGAGTGTAATTTTAGTAGTAATAGACCTAGTGAGTGGATTGTGACTTTGGGCGATCAAGTCATTAATAAGAGTACACATTTTAGATATCTTGGATCTATTGTTCAGAATGATGGTGAAATAGATAGGGATATTATCAACAAAATTCAAGTTGGATGGTTGAAGTGGAGAAATGCATCGGGCTTATTGTGTGATAGAAAAGTACCCCTCAAACTTAAGGGAAAATTCTATAAGATGGTAGTGAGGCCTGCAATGCTTTATGGTGCTGAATGTTGGCCATTAAAAGAGAAGCATAATACTAAGTTAAGTGTGGCAGAGATGAGGATGCTCAGGTGAATGAGTCGCTGTACCCTTATAGATAGGATACGAAATGAGCATATACGTGAAAATGTTGGAGTAGCTCCAATAGAAGATAAGATTAGAGAGAGTCGCCTTTGATGGTTTGGTCACATGCATAAAACGGCGGCCTTCCAATGACCCGGTTAGGAGAGTAGAGGTATTAGATTTGACTTATGTTAAGAAAGGTAGAGGGAGACCTAGAAAGACTTGGTTAGAAAATATTAGGAATGACCTTTCTTTATTAGATTTAAACGAGAATTTGACCTTTAATAGGACACAATGGAGAAAAAGGATTCATGTAGCCGACCCCACGTAGTGGGATAAAGGCTTGATGTTGTTGTTGTTGTATCTTTGCATTGTCATAATTTCATTCGTGTTTCTTTTCTTTTCTATTTTCTCTGTGAACAAAATCATAATTCCTAGAATTGTGTTTCGTTCTTGGCTTAGTCCTTAGGATTCCCGCCTCACCTGGATCTGTTCTCGTGAACTCTGGAGCTATTCTCTGGGATTAATTTCTTTTTGCTTCTTTGCTATATGTACATGTAGACCCTAATGCTTTCAATAAAAATTTTACTCGAAAAAAAAAACAAACAAACTTATTGTTAATCCGCTTATCCTTTTGACTATATGGAGGAGCTAAGATTGCAAACTGAAAAATATGCCATGCTCGTAGGTGTAGAAAGATAGATTACTCTCTTCATACCAACATGGTTTCATATATGTAGATGGATTAGGAAGATAGATGACTCTTTATTTATGCCAACATGTTATTTTTTAAAATGGTAAATCATACGTAGTTTAATTCTCAAAATACCAGAGAATGTTAAATGCATATTTCCTTATTTATAGAAAATTTGAAATTTTTTTTCTTTATATCTGTCTCGCTTGATAACAATCATTAATCTGCTAGTTGGTCTTCCTTCATTTGGGTTTGTTTACTTTATTGGTGTGTACATGAATATGACAAAGAATTTAAAATTTAGAACTTCTACTTGTTTAATACTCGTTTACCGCTTCTCAACTACCATGCCTCGTATATTTGATGATGATGATGATGATGATGATGAGTTGCTAATAATGATTTGTTAAGATTAAGGTAATTACTAATATTTTTGTCTCCTAGGTTTATGCAGTGGGGTCTTCTTCTGTTAATGGAGTTTATTTGCTAGATTTCTTTCCAGGTAGAAGCTCGGCTTGCCATGTGGATCACAGGTGACTTTAACCAAACTCCATTTTTGTGCAGATTATTACTGTAGGAATGCACATAGACTTTGCGGCTGTGTATATTTTGCTTTGTATTGTTGTGTTCGGGATACTTGTAGATATTCTGTACATGGTAATGGATATTTGTTGTGTGCAAAATATTTGTGATATTCCGTACACAATAATATAAGGTAAAATGCATCCCATACACTTCTCAACGTACTTTAATCTACGTGCATTTCGATCATCTAATAAATTTTCCTCTCGCCCACTCCTCAACCTCTCCTATCCCAAAATACTTCCCTACTTAGGAATATAATTTTGTTGATGTCTTCAAACTCCATATGATTTGGCAGTGATGGAGCAAATAATGTTTCGGTTGAAAGTAAAGGAGTTGGCAAAAACAGATTTATTCCTGTCTCAGAGATTGTTTTAGCTTGTGCTGTTCATCCCCAAAATGGCGCCATCATAGCTGGATCTAAGGTTTGATTAGTTTCCATTATGATTTTTTCAAGTGTTATTTTATATCTCAAAAACTGCTGCTAACTCTATGAAGCTTTACTGAACATCCACATTGGCTTTGCTTTATGTTATGTGCTTTACTTTTTCTGGTTGGCTCCGTTTACTTCTTTTTTGAATGTCTTTCAAGGTCCAATTTTAGTGACTATACTTGCTCAATGTTCACTCTGGGACCCGTCTTCTTTTGTTGAAATTCACCCCTGAAATTTAATATTTCTAGTTTCCTTTGGCTTCCATAGCTTGTCCTCATGGTTATATTTGCCAGGATATTTTCCTATCTTTATTACCTTAAAGGTAAGTAGGCATTATTAATTGCTATACGAGATGCGCCTTCTTTGATGATGCCGTAATTCATACTAGAAATATATTGTTCAAATTTTCTCTTAAGTAAGATGTATAGTTTGGAATAGAGCTTTGGTCTAGAGGTGACTATGAAGAATGAGATATTTAAGATGCTACTGTCACATCTTGGATCCAGAAGGCGGTACACCCCAGGCCCCCAGCAACACGGGATGCGATGAAGGGATAGAAAGAATTTTGTTTTACTGATAAGAAGAAAAGTTCATAAACAAGTAATACAACATAATATAATATAGTAATAATAGAAAAACAATTGAATTTTTTACTTTATTAATTTGAATTCAAATAATAGTACACCAATTAAGAGCACTACTATAAGCAAAATAAGGCTGAAAGGAATAACAACAAGAAAAAAATTATTCAACCCTCAAAGCAAATTCATAATAATCTACTAAAAATATAAAATTACTCAATATAAATTCTACTGTTGATAGATTGGCTCATGAAGTGGTAGTCCACCCAGAGCTCTTGTAGGACCACACAACGATCTTGTAGAACCTGCTATGAGCAAAAGTAACCACATGTGAGTTTAATAAATTAAACTCATAAAGTAATTGCTATCTATTAAAGCATAAACGACAAAGGAATGAGACATGCGGTATGACAAAATTAATAGATATGAGTAGAAATTAATAGTCAATGTATTAATATAATAATGTCATGAGATATGGTGATGGGGACATCAGCAGCGATTTCGACACATATACCTTCAGGAGATGCCGGAGATCGACGACCACGATCATGATCTGTATTTTCATCATTTTATGTAGTAGTTTATTTTTATTTTATGTTTTTCCGTTTTTGCCCTCATGGGTATTTGGTATCTATTGTAGCCCAAGGGGCATTTTAGTCTTTTGTTTCTTTGTCATTTTGAGGCCTATTTATAAGGCTCTTTTCTCATGTAATAGTTAGTTTTTTATGAATGAAAATTTTAGAGTTCATGTTCTCTTTGTGAGTGCAAACCTCCACGATCTCTTAGTGAGTTCGTAGGAGAAGCTAGATCTCTTTGTGAGTTCTAGGTTTTCTTGTCCTTCTCTTTTCTTTTGTTTATCGTGATCAAGTCATCGTTGCGTGGATTTGGATTGAAGCCACTAGTGGAAGATTGGATTTTCAGGTTTTGGATCCCAAGAATTTCCCCCACACTCTCCCCTCCCTTGCTCTTGCCGCCGCCCCCCTCCCTGGATTGCCCAGGCCGCCGGCCTGCATCCCCAACCGCCGGCCAGCAGCCACCGGCCAGCCCTTCCCAGCCCACCGGCTTCCTCCCCCTTGCAGCCGCCTCCTTCCCCCCCTCACCTCTCTACCCGCCGACCCCTCTTGGGTTTTGAATTTGAAATTCAAATTCACCAAGAGTTGTTACCCTCTTGCCAAAATTAATTCTTGAATTTATGTCATCATCTTAATTGGATTTCAATTCCAATTTGAAATTCAAATCGCTGCATAATTGCTTAATCATAAATGTGGAAATTTTTCCTTTTGGTTAAAATCTGAATTTACTTCAGCTTTTACTCAAATCCATTAATTAATCAAGTGGGCCCCACCTCATCAAAACCGAAACCCCCTTCTCTCCTTGCTCTATGACCGGCCACCATACCCTTAATTAGGAGCTTAATTCATGGCTTCAAATAAGGCCTCATTAATTCCTAATTTCCCTCCTAAGCCTAAATTTCGAATTTCAAAAATTTGAAATTTCAAAGTCCAAATTAAAATTAGGAAATCTGAAATTAATTTCAGATTTCCCAACCTAGTTCTTGCTTAGCCCCACCCGTTCCCTTCCCTATTGTTCACAGTTAATTCCCATCAAAAGTGCCAATGAAAAATTCCCAAACGCCTCATGCAGCCACCAAATTCCTGCACAAGAGTTCCACGTTCCAGCTGTCCTAGATATCCAATTTGCTGGTCTTTCCCTTCTCAGCTTGCTGCCAAGAAGAACCAACCCAGTTTCCTCACCGTTCTGTGGCCGGAAGCCACGCCGGTTGCTGTCCCGAAACTCTCCAAGGGCTGTTTCAGGTTTTCTGCCATTACCAATGCTGTACAGTGAATTGGAGAGATCACCATTGCAGCCCACTGTCCACTAGCATCAAATTCAGCAAGTCTAATTGTCCGGGATGACGTCGTAGCTGCTGTCCAACAATTCTGCAGGTTTCCTTGCACCACACCCTCACCCGGGAGGCCCCAACCGCTGTCCAGAATTCCCTACTCCGGCCACCTATCCAAGAACGACGATCCAAGGTTCCTTCTTCCTCGGAGCGACCTCGATTCTAATGTGGAGACTCTTCTTCCGCTAAAGCCTAGATTATTTGAGCGTATGGGCTCCAAAGGTGAAAGTTCTCAATATTAAATCGTGGATTCTTGTTTATTGTCGTAGCGTACAATTATTCTTTGCGTTTTCTTGAATTGTTTGGTTAATCGATCTCGCTCTTCTTTGCCTAAGCAAGTTAAAAACTACGAATTTCAAGGATCAAACTTTTGCCATAAGTGACAATTTTATTTTGGATTATTTTTTTTAAATTGCTCTCTTTAATTTCTTAAAGTAACTCCATCGCATGTTTGTTTCATATCATATGGTTCCTACAAAGTATCTAAAATTTTGCTAGTGTAAATGTGCATGTTAAACTGTAACTAATGCAATGAAAATTAAATTTATTCAAATATAATTACACTAGGTATCATCATTCTCTAAATGATCAATCAGTCATTCATTGAGTTCAATTCATGTATAATTATATATGTCTACAACTTCATGTGTATAATTATAGTCGGTTTTATCAAATACTTTGCACCGGAAAGGTAAACACCAACCTAAAAAAATCATTATCTAATATGATTCTACTGATTTGCATACAAGCATACAATGACTAGTCTGTCACAAGTAATTTTCAACAGGTATTATATAATCAATATGAAAAATTTTAATCTCGTAACCATGATGATTTACAATAATTGTATCATTTATTCCACTTAATAGAAATGAGAAGCATAAACAAATTATTTACAACAGGACACACCTTAAACTGGTAAGAGATCATGCATAAATAACTCAAGGTGAGATGGCATGTACTATATGATACCTTCATTATGAGCAATAATGAAATCTATAGCATATGCAAACTAATATATAAAATTGAAAGTAAGACTAGCAGCCTAAGATATTAATGAACTTAGTACGAGTATCAAGGATAATGCCTCTAACAAAGAATGTTATATTTATTCATTAATAAATAACACTCACAACAATTGACACGATTTCCCAAAACAATTTCTGTTCGCTCGACTCTGCCAAGTGTGGATCATATGAGGAAAAAAACATTTGTAAGCATGTAAATTGTGACATCAAAGTTGCTATTCAATTGATCTAAGCCTTAGTCAAAATTAAGGAAGAAAATAGATGAGATGATCAAAAGGCTTATGAAGGATGAAGTTCTCACTGTCCTCTTTCAATTGAAGGAGGAAGGAGGTCGAGTGCCTTCACTGACAACTACGAGATGAAGAGATGAAGAGGGAGAAGAGGTTCAACGGCTAGGGCTTTGGAAGAAGAAATAGTGCTCGGTGATTGCAAGGAGGAAAAGTTGGGAGAAAAGAGATGGGAAGGTGTTGCAGCTGTTATAAGAGGGTGGAGTGGATGTTGTGAAACCCCTTAAGTCAAAACAAATAATACCCCAACAGTTAATAGTTTAGGTTGTTACAAAATGGTATCAAAGTGATACACTAGTCGGAAGATGGTACTAAGTGGCATATATGACAAAGTGCTACGCTATGGGAGCCACCCTATATGGGATAAAATACTATATATGGAGGGAGCCATCATTTGAACTTGTAAGAGTCACCTCTAGAATCCTATATATATATATATATATATATATATATATATATATAAAAGGTGTAGACATATAATTAGATATGAGTTAAACTCAATGAATGATTGATTCATCATTTGGAGGATGATAAGTGTGATTATATGTGCATAAATTTTATTACCATTGCATTAATTAGAGGTTGACATGCATATTTGTAATTGTGGCATATTAAAACCTTTGTAGGAACCATGACTCATGGTATTATTATTGCATTGATACCTTGATTTTTGGTTTCTAGTCCTATCTATTGATTTGGTTATACTGCATGACTTATTTTTTGTCGTTTATTTTTTTATAGATAGAAGTTATTTGCTGAGTTTAATTTGTAGAACTCATCCGTGGTTATTTTTGCTCAAGCCTTGGGTGGGCTGCTGCTTTAGGAGCACATCTATCAATAGTAGAATTCGTATTGGTATTTTTATAATTGTAGTAGATTTATATGCATTCGCTTTAAGGGTTGAGTAGTTTTGTTGTTGTTGTTTCTTTTGCACTTATTTTTCTTGTGGTAATGCTATTGATTGATATACTGTTATTTGAAGTCATATTAATAAAGTAAAATTTTAGTTGCTCTTCTGTTATTTATTCTGATATATTATGTTATATTACTTGTTCATGCAATTTTCTTCTTGTGATTACAAAACAAATCTTTCTATTCCTTCATCACGTCCTGTGTGCCGAGGTGTACTACTTTCGGATCCGGGTTGTGATAAGCTATGATCCATCAAAGTTGATGTTTTTCAAGTAAAACCCACGGTTTTATTTTAAATATTGTTCTGTATTATTTTAAGTGCTTTATAAAAGGGTTGAGTAGTTTTGTTGTTGTTGTTGTTATTTCTTTTGTACTTATTTTTTTTGTGGTAATGCTATTGATTGATATACTGTTATTTGAAGTCATATTAATAAAGTAAAATTTTAGTTGCTCATCTGTTATTTATTATGATATATTATGTTATATTACTTGTTCATGCAATTTTTTTCTTGTGAGTACGAAACAAATCTTTCTATTCCTTCTTCACGTCCCGTGTGTATTGCTTTCGGATCCTGGTTGTGATAGATATGATCAATCAATGTTGATGTTTTTCAAGTAAAACCCCACGGTTTTATTCTAAATATTGTTCTGTATTATTTTAAGTGCTTTATAAAAGTTAGATGGCCTGTTCAAGTCTTCTAATTGATTCCATTGAGGAAGTGGGAATGTCTGATTTCAGCAATCTGCTTTACTGATGGTTTCTCGAACGCACCAAACTGATGACGAGGAGAACCAACAACATGAAGGCTGTTAATCGACAGGTACTTTAATATGCGAACCTACCTTTTTTCTTTCTGAATTGCAATTTTCCAGCAATTTTTTTGTTCTCTGTTGGCTTTAGATCATAATTGTGCACAAAACATATTAACTCTTGCAGGGTGTGAATTTCTTGAAATTCTGTAGTGTAGAAACTATTATGATGGCCCTATAACGTTGAGAGCAGGAATAATATAACCTTAGGCACTCATGAAGTTTCACTGCTACAGCTCAGATTCTTTTTAGTATGCTAATTGTTTTATTTCTGCTAGAGGATGTCTAATTTAGTGCGTCATCAGTTTTTTTTTTTTTTTGCTTCCTACCTGAATGTTTTTTTTCTGCTGTAACCTTGAGTTTAGGTTCAATGTACCGAAAACAACCATTTATAGGTGTAAGTGTCACACTTCAGTATATATACCATAACAACTTGGATATAATCATATGATAAAGCAATTTAATCTCAATTTATGAGCAAACTTTCAAGATATTGGTATGTCTGGAATATGATTGTGTTGATCAATTTGGTTATTTTGTTGTCTCGGACCTCAAAGTTTGTCCTGTTTATTTGGGGTGTCGGGGGTTAAAATTTTTTCCCCGTACAACTCCCCGACGCGGCGTACCTGAGCGCCATAGTGTTGAACGACAAAAAATAGAGCGCCGTAGCAATATATAATATTAATATTAGCAGCATGACACTCGTTCAGCCAAAACAGAGGCTTGAGCGCTGCAGCACCCCAAATTGGCACCGCAGCATTGCGAGAAGGATTGGACGGGTTTCTTTCTCATTTTTCTGAAGGTTTGCATCATTGGGATTATTTTACTTGGCTTTCTCTTGTATTTTGAGTGTGTAGACATTGAGAACGGTATTTGAGAAGAGAAGGAGAGAGAGAGATCTGTACTTATTTCTTTAAATTTTCATAGTGGACTTCTTGGTGTGGTGTGGCTTAGTAATTTTTTTCTTATTTTTTAGATTTTTCCACGTTAAATCCTTGTGTCCTTTATTTTTTGCTGCTTTTACTTTCTTTTTTCATCGTTATGGTGTTTACTCATCATCATCCCCAACAGTAATAAAATAATTATATTATACAAATATCATAAGCAAAAATTGTCATAAATGTGAAATTAAAATGTATCAAATCTATAAATTCATCAGCAAACTATCATCAAGAAAAAATTAAGAAAAATAGAAAACAAAACAAAATATGTGATAACCTGCCTAAAATTCAAATCTAGTCTTCCCCAACCTTTGATAGATTATCAAATTATTTCTTCGTTGATGAGAAGTCTGGCAAAGAAGAGTATGAAATATTGATTTTAGGCCCTCGCAGATGTTAGTGATAGAAACTATAGAATTTACATCTTTGCTTAATTTTAATTATGATCTTAATATATAAGCATGTTTATATGAAGGGAAGAGAAGTGAGTAACAAGGAAGAACATACTCAATAATGAGAATATTATATAACAATACGATTAATGATTCTATTATAAATATTTAGAATATGTTATAATACAGATATGTTGATATTTAATATTTTGTTGTAAACTCAAGTCAAGGTGTCATATGTCAACTTGAGTTTGAGAAAAAGTAGTAATCATTGATTTAATCAATATGATTGAGTTGGTTGATGGTATATACGGGTGCAAATGAGTCAAATTGACTTAGGAATTGCTCGAGCTCGATTTGTTAATGAGCTCATGAGTCCAAAGTTTCGAGCTCAAGTTCGATCAAGAGGAAGCTCAACTCGATTACTCGTCGAGTGGCTCGACCGCGGAAAGGTGAAATCGGAAGCTCGGGCACGGGCGTTGTCATGTGGATTTGCGGACGCGAAAGCGGGATTGGAATGGGCCTCAAGCCTCGCAAGCTTGCACCCATCGCGACGAGTCTGAGCTCCAATTCGAGTTCGTGATCTGGCGGACAAGCTAAGCTCAAATTAAGTATGACTAGAACTCAACTCGACTCGTTTTCACCCCAATGCTATATGATCTTTGGGCAATGAGTGGTTAAGCATAACATTGACGAGAGTGAGAAGAGCCTAGGTGGTCTACTTCAGGAGCTTGGTGTACCAAGTAGCAACGATGATGGTGAGATTGACCATAACTCAGTTGGCCAACAGATCATTTGAGTGATTTAACTAGTCTCCAACTACATTCTCAGTGTTTCCCATTCAGTGTTCTTCAATTCATTCATTTCCTACTCGAGTCACTGCTGCAACCATAGTCTATCACCAAATACTCGTGCAAAAAATAAAAAATTAAAAGAGTTTGGCATTTTCCTCAATATCATGGTTTCATGTTTATTGTTGTTGTTGTTACATTTCTCCTTGTAATCCCCTACCATTCATCCTCTGGAGTCTGGAGGTTAGGGAAATTCATGGTACTCTTACCTCAATTTTCGATAGATTCTTAAATTATTTCTTTGTGAGTAAGAAGTCTAGCAAAGATTAAGCTTATCAAATCTTAATTTTCTCAAATGTTTAGTGATATAAAACATAAAAGGGTTATATCTTTGCTTAATTTTAATTATAATATTTATATAGAGGGAAGAGGAGATTAATAAATGAGAATATTTGAAAATAAATCATAGTTTTGAAATTCGGCCTAGCGTCAAATAGGTTATAATCGGTATGAACTGCATGCTCAATCAGTCTCAGTTTTTAAGAATATATTTAATTAATTTAAATATGACTCGTTTTATTTAATAATAGCCAAAAAATTTGTAATGAATATGTATCAATTAAGCACTAATAAATCTTATCCGTGTGAGCTCTTAATCCATGAAAATAAGAAAAGTTATATAAACAATACGAGATAAAGCTCTCAAGTGATTTGGGACTAAACGATTAATTGAAAATTTTATTTTAAAATATATACATTATGTATTTTTAAACTTTATTTTTATAATAAGAATAATATTTATTTTATTGGTTAATACAAATTAGTAATGATTTATATTAAATTTATAACTTTATATATATACTATTTTTTAATTATAGGTTTATTTTTTATTTAAATAATTATAATATTTATTATGTCATTCAATTCAATATCGATTGAACCATTGAATCTTGAACTCATATTTTTGGTTCAATGTCTGGTCTAACTATTACGTCCAGTGACCGGACGTTCGGTCACTGGACGTCCGGACACCAATCCAGACGTCACTCAAATACATCGGGGCCCGATGTATTTGGGTGACGTGGCGCGTTTGGATTGATGTCCGGATGATCCGGACACCGGACGTAATAATTTGCCCTCCCTAACACTATCTTCAATTTATTCCTTCTCTACCCTACTGATCCTTGCAACCCTAGCTAGTCTACCGCAAATCCACTCACAAAAAGTAAATAGTCGGTAACTTCCTCAACGTCCCGACCTTTGTGTCTCTTGTAGTCGTCCTCCTCCTCCTCGTATTCCTCTACTACTAACCTTTTTGAGGTTAAGGAAATCTTTGACCCTCCTTGCCCCCCAATCTTTGATAGATTATCAAAATTATTATTGATAGATGAGTAGTCATGGAAAGATAGGTGTATCAAATCTTAATTTTCCTTGGCCCTCCCATGTGGGAAGTGATAGAAAAAAAGGATTTTTTTCTTTTTTTAAGGAGTATAGTGGTTAATTTAAATTAGGAATAAGAACAAAGTATTAAAAAAATTTAAAAAGAAGTAAACTAGCCAAATAGAATGATGCATTCCATTGAATGTACCAAACTGTTTGGCATATTTAGAATAAGTAAAACTATTTGGCGCATTGTTACAGTATTTTTAAAATTTAGTTTGGATATTTTGGTGGATGCACCCAATGATTTGGCGTTATGTTTTGATAGTTTTCTTCTTTTTAAAAATTTTTAATACTCTTCTCCTATTCCTAATTTAAATTAATAATCATGCTCCTTTTTAAAAAAATCCTAGAAAAAATTAGAGTCAAATCTTTGCATAATTTTCATTTTAATGTTATAAATATAGTTATATAAAGAGAAGATGAGGGAGTAATACAGAAAATACAATAAGTCGGAATATCCTCGATAATAAAGATGTATTATAATAATAAATATTGATTATTTTGTTATGAATATTTAGAGTATATGATAAAATAGATATAATATTATTTAATATTTTCTCACAAACTCAAATGACATATGCTAAGATTATTAATATTAAAAGTGCTTATGCTCGCTCCTCAAATAAGTTTGAATGCGTTTAAAATTAAAATTTTAGAATGATTTAGAATAAATTAATATAAAAAATATCTTTTTAAGAAAGAAATTTTATTGAAAGTGATTTAAATGGACATATTAGCAGAGATGCAGATGATTTTAAAAGCTTTTATAATGACTATAGATTTGGAGCGACTAACAAAGTTTGTATATCATATTAGATTTTCTATAGATTATAATTTTGTAATAGTTAATATATTATTTAAGAAAAGAGGTTATCATCTCATCTCTTATGAGAATGGATATAGTAAAACTCACTTTGATCATTTTCTTATAATAAAAATGAAATTGCAAAGACTATAAAGTTATTCCGTGTGAAATTTTATATATCCAACATCGTTTACGGTTCTGGACTTTAAGATGAAGGGGCATAATATAAAAAATAAAATAAAATGTTGTGCTAGGATTAAATAGGGGAATCTAAAGAATATTCATAATATTATTGTTTATAGTAAGATTTTAGATCTTAAGATTTTGTATGTCTATAATAAAACTAATGTTATATAAGAAACAGTAGCTAGTTATATGAAGAATGTTGCAAATAATGTGATTGGAGTATTGAAGAGAAAGCCTCTAGTAATAAAAATAGTTTGTGGTGGAATCAAAATTTGCAAAAAAAAAGATCAAAAATAAGAAACATTTTTATAAAAATTAGTTTAGATGTAAAAACTCTGATAATTGAAAAATATAAAAACAAGCATGTAATGAGTAAGAAAGTAATATACAATGAAAAGATTTTATCTTTTAATGATTTATAAAATAGATTATTAATATATATATATATATATAAGTTAGTCAAATGAAGAGATAATAGTAGCAATGATTTAGTTCAAGTGAAGTGTGTTAAAGATGAAGAGTAAAAAGTATTTGCATTAGAAGAGGATATTCAACAAAGGTGAATGAGATATTTTGCTAAACTTTCAATGATGATTGTGAGAATACGATTGACTTTAGTGATCTTAACACCCTAAATGAAAATAAGATTTTTATTTTTATCGATATATTAGTAAAATCGAAGTTAGAGATTCTTTAAAGAAAATGAAGTGTGAAAAAGTTGTTGAACTTGATAATATTTTAATAGATGAGTGGCTTGCTAAATTTTTTAATATTATTTTGAAGACTGAAAAAATATCAGATGAGTGGGTAGATTTTTATTTTTAAGAATAAAGGTGATGCACAAGATTATGCAAATTATATATGAATTAAGTTAATATGTCATACTTTAAAACTATGGGAGACAATTATGGAGCATATGTTATGATGTGTTATTAATGTTTCTTAAAATCAATTTGGATCCATATCGATTAGGACT